ATTAATGTTTGTTTCTGTAATGGATGGGGATTTATCTGTTCATTTCACTCTGAAACTTTTGATGTCAGGTGTATGTGTTTTTTTTTCTCTTGGGGGGGTTCCATCATTGTGGTGTTAATGTCTCTGACAAAAAATTTCCTGAAATCCCTGCAGATCCTGATTACAGCAACGACTACACCTGGTCCTTTGACGTGGATAAATGGGTGACCAGCCATGACATCGAGCTGAATCACAAGTTACCATCGTGTATACTGCCTCATGAGCAGTCAGCTAATGCTTTGTACATGAAGCCACAGTACACCCACACCAACAACCACTCTATATGGCGCTAGAGTCAACCACACATTCACAACATCAAACTTCAAAACACAAACCAAACTCCTGTCTGTAAGGCCCTGCCATTGGAATCTCTCCTCCATAGTTTCAGGTTTGCTGCCCATGATTCCTCGCTTGATTTGGGACACAGTCTGGTGAGCGACACTTTCCTTTCAATGCTCCTTTCACCGTGAGCTAGGGTAGAGCTGCTGAGGACTTGGTGGATGTTGGAAATCCATGACAGGGTGTCACAGATTGCCAACTTTAATACAGGAGGCAGCTCAGCTGTCAATGGTTACATCTTTACCAGAGAGAGCTCCACACAGTGTGTCTTGGAAGAGTCCCATAGACTTGCAGAAGCTGTTGGTTTGAGGCTGGAGAGGGGGCAGGGTCCTTAACGGGGCCCTGAAAAGTGCTTCACACAATCCTTGTTTTCCCCCTGACCCCAGCCACTCACTCCCTTTACAGCACCTTCCCACTAGAACCTCCTACCCCAGGAATGTGTCATCAGCAAACACCCCCTTCCCCAAACTGTGTCCCCAAAGCCCTTCCCCTGAATGGCCTGTGACCACTCCAACATCCTCCAGCCTCAGGATCAGTTCCACCCCGCCACACCATCTTTGGTTTTTACCAGAGGATCACACTCCTTCACTTTGGGCCCTTGGGAAAGTTTTGATGATTTCTGCGCCAGATAATTAATCTCACTTCCCTCCTTCACAGGTTACTCACTAATTAGAATCTGATTTCAAACTTTCTGATCCAGTCCATGTTTTAATCTCTCTAGAATCAGAGACGGTCAAAATCAGGGTTCGGAAATTACCAAGTCAGGATTAACCAAGAATCTAATAAATGCTGATTAATGATAAAATATTTATGTCAACATAAGAACCTGCTGATTGATGTTTTGTTGTGTACTCACTAATTGTCAATGATGTTACTTACTGTGTATTTCCAAAATCTGATGTAAACATAGAGAAGAGAATCATTAGAGTTATGGATGTGGGCATCGCTTTCATAAAGATATATAATTACTTGCATTACAGTGTCAATAGTTGACATCTTTACTATAATAAGGCAATAAGACCATAAGAAATAGGTACAGAATAGGCCATTCAACCCCTAAAGCTTGCTCTGACGTTCACAACAGGGTTATGGCTGATCCAACATTCCTCACATCCAATTCACTGCCTTTCCCCAACTAATCAAGAATCTATCTCAACCTTAAATATACACAAGGACTATATCCCCACAGGACTATATCTCTGTGGTGAGGAGTTCCAAAAACTCACAACCCTCTGAGAGAAGAAATTCCTCCTCATCTCAGTCATAAATTGGTGCCCCTTTATTCTGAGGCTGTGCCCTCTGGTCCTAGACTCTCCAATGAGGGGAAACATCCTCTCAGCATTTACTCTGTCAAACCCCTTAAGAATCCCATATGTTCCAATGTGATCACCTCTCATTCTTCTAATCCCCAGTGAATAGAGTCCCGACAGTTTAGCCTTTGCTCATAAGACAATCCCTCCATATCCTGGATCATCCCAGTGAACTGTCTCTGATCCTGCTGCCGTTGAAATATCTTTCCTTAAATGAGGGACAAAAACTGCTCACAGTATCCCAGAGATAGCAGGAACTGCCGATGCTGGAGAATCTGAGATAACAAGGTGTAGAGCTGGATGAACACAGCAGGCCAAGCAGCATCAGAGGAGCAGGAAGGCTGACGTTCAGAA